ATTGTCTCTGCAGCTTAACTCAGGGAATCTGTTTATATATACTTGCACACGTTATATATGTAGCGTTGCATGTGTTAAGCTGTTTGATAAGCAATAACTTAGCGCGCCGCTGTTAAGTGATATCAGCTAACAGTGAGATTTTCGGTTGAGTACGCTTAACAGTGACTTGCTATGGTAATACAATAAAGGAAAATTTAAATGTTAACTCACCAATGCCTTGATGTCGGGACGATGTTGAAAGCGCTTCCAAATCGATGATACTCGTGCAAAATTCGGTTCTTGGTATGTTTATGTAACAAGTATTTTTAAATGATTTTTCTTCTTTTCGAATACCCTATATATACTTAATTTATATTGCCGTTAGCGTGAAGAACGTACGATATGGAGGTATGACTTTTCGACACCACTACCGTTAGTAGGAAAACTGAACCACCAAAAGCTTGCATTCGATTTTCTAAATTTAAACAAACTGACTTACGTACTATTTCATATAAACATTTTACGCTTCGAAAAACTTTTAAATTTCGTTATGCTGTGGGCACTGTTTACGCCCTATGCAACTTTTGTATAAATTTCTATGGAAATTAGGGCAATTTTTGCACGATTTCACCACTGTACTTTCCATATACCTTTACACTACTACTATATTTAGCGTTTACGAGCAGAGTGGGAAAAGTTATATCCGATTTGGTTCAGTTGAGTATGTTTTGAATATTTTCTACTTTTTGGCACTTTTACTATTTTAAACCATGTAGTTTTTATTTTCACTTTTGGGCTGTCTTGTGAAAATTTGCCGCCGGGCGCAAAACTACTACGTTACCGATGTAATACTCTCCCGAAGCCGATACTTGTACTGAGCAGCGGTCTGGGGATTCTGCCTGATGCGTGCCTGTTGCTCTGTATCGTATTTGTCCAAAGCGTGGGAGAGTCTTTAATGCTTCTTTTGAAGTCCCGTATTGGTTTTGTGCAATGTTGTGACTGCTTCTAATGCTAATTAAATTGCCTTGGTAGTTCTCCAACTTTTCCAACAAAGTTGCAGTGCACAAAGCACTGAAAAATCAAGATTGGTGTGCACCTTTCAGGCAAATTATACTCACAACACCTACGTGTGTCAATGTGCGTTTTCTAAAAAAAAACCTAAGACAAGGAATTGATTGCTTAAAACCAGCTTGGTTGAAAATAATAAAATAACTACACTTAAATACTTACGAGCTCGTAGCAAGCGAAAACTGTTGAAAGCAAAATTTATGTTACTGATTGAATAAATTAATATGGATTTAAATATTAACTTTTTCGTCTTATCTGCTCCACGGAGCGATGAGAAAAGAAGGATACAAAGATTTTAAGACTCGACCTAAGCTAATTTGACAAAACATTACTTCCGCCTGTCAAGTAATTATTTGCTATCGATATCTGTCCTTTTATCGATATAGGTAATTTTCGGGGTATGTTAATTAAAACGCCCCTGCTAAGTTGCCACAAGTTTGTTGAATCTAGAAGGGAAATATTTTAAATGAAGAATTTGCAGAAACTCTTATTGGGGGAAAAAATATTTTAGGTGATATAATAGTTAGAGTCTGCCACTCAAACTCTTAAAAAAAATATCAGTAAGGCTTTAACAGCTGCATATATCGAAAAGGTGTATGAAAAGGACACTTTATAGAGCTCTTTAAATTTATTTTCTTCATATGAATAAGGTCATGAAAATATTTTGTTGGGAAAAATTTTATTTTGGAAAACGTGCATTACAATCATAATCTTATTTACAAAACTAAATGCAACCCTACATATACCTTTGTACATAAGTATGTTAACTACAGTGCCTAGCGCTGTTAAAACCCAGCTTGTAAGAATTGAATTGGAAAATAAAGTTTAACTCTGCATTAAGCTACGAAAGAGAGAACACCTTTCATTAACATGGTATCAGAACAAGTTTGAAAGTTTTAGGAACACGTGTGGTGCTTAAACTATACTGAAGTGAACTGAAGAAAATGGCGGAAGAATTAAAATTACATGGTTTTGATGGAAAGAATTACAGAATCTGGAAGAAAAGAATACTACTGTTCTTGAAGTGGAAAAAATGTGAAAAAGTAGATACAAGAGAAAAAATAACTGCTGATGAGCCCGCGTGGGACGAAGATAACATAAAAGCCATGAATTACATATACAGTGGAATTTCGAATTAACAAATGGAATTTGTTGCTGAGGAGGAGACAGCGTATGTAGTCATACAAAAGTTTGATAAATATTACCTAAGAGAATCGACGGCACTCCAAATATGTGAAATAGATTAGAAAAAAAACAAGCTGAAAGATTACGTTGCATCTAGTTCTTTTCTTTCCAACTTTGAAAAGCTAACAAATGAGCTGAAAATTTCCGGCATAACTATGTGCGAAAAAGAAAAATTGAACTATTAATGCATATCCTTCCGGATTCTTTAAGCTACATCGGAGATTTAATTGATGCTGTGAAGGAGACGGATCAAAGTTGCGAATTTATCAACAATAAGATTATTATGTGGGAAATCAGAGAAAGGGTGAGAACAGTAATTTTCATAACAAATCAAGCGCATTTGGTGGAGAGGTCCAGTCAAGGAAAGACCTGTTTTCGGTGTGGTAAAATTGGTAATTTAAAAGTGAATATGCGCTGGGTACAACAACAACAGCAGTCCGAAGGTAATTTTAGAGGTGACAGTGGAAAAAGGTTCGATCAGCAGAGTGTGGGACTCGAAGCAGCAATTGGCAACAACAAAGCGAAGGGGAACGGCGACGAGGTGAGCGCAAACACGAAAACAGTGCAAGTTCTTTTATCACAGAGATAGACGTTAAGTCGGAGAGTAAATGTATGATTGCAGAAAATTTTAACTGCGATGGCAAGAAAATCGAGTGGGTATCGGACAGTGGCTGCACTGATCATATTTCTAACAATTGTTTATATTTCTATGAATTTGCGAATTTGAAAATTCCCGTGGATGTTAAAATTGGAGATAGTAGTATTTTAAAAGCCACGAAGATTGGTAATATAAAAACTTATTTTATTGTTTATGGAAAGAAAATGGAAGTTAATATGGTTAATGTATATTACGTAGAAGATATGGATCGAAATTTGATAAGTTTTGCTAAGGTAACTGATAAGAACAAAATTGTATCAATAGGCGATAAAGCGAAAATTTACAATGAACGGAATGCTCTAATCGGAATTGCTAGTAAAGAAAGTGGTTTATATAAAATTTGTAGTATCTTAGATATCAAAGAATCAAATTTTACAATAAGCAACAAGGAAATGACGTCAAAAGAAAAGTACCATAGAATATTAGGGCACGTAAATTTTAACTACTTAGAATGAATATGTCAAAACAAGTTGGTAGAAGGACTACCAAATGAATTAGAGCCAAACTTTTTAAAATGTGCTATTTGCATTCAAAATAAGATGCCCAATTTACCTTTTTTAAGCAATAGAACTAAATCAA